GATCGGTGATGAAGGTGATGAAGATTAGAGATGGGTGATTGATGATGAAGAAGAATGATCGGTGATGAAGGTGGAGGATGATGAAGATCGGTGATGAAGGTGGAGGATGATGAAGATCGGAGATGACGGGTGAAAATGGTGATTAGAGGATGATGGAAGAAAAAGAGGAGGAAGGTTAAATTTGTAATTTTAACCTTGGTTTACACAAAAAAAGCTTTATTTTATAGAGTGTGCACCCACCGGTGTTGAACCGGAGGGTGCACACAGCATTATCCTATAATATTACATTAAATGAATTAGCAAATTTTTGTGTTCATTTTCTTTGAATTTTGGAGGACTATCCGGAGAAAACTTACTTTCAAAATATGTCATTTAATTATGAAAAATGATTTAGGTATAAATTTTTTTGTATTATTTTTTATACAACTTTATGTATTTTTAAAATAATTAATTTTTTTATTTAATTAAGACTTATTATATTAAATATATCTATTTATTTAATAATATATAAAAATTATATAAAGAAAATACAAAAAGATAATTTCTGTAACACCGTTTTTATTGCTCTTAGTATCTTAGGTAGGTTTGGCCAAGGATTTTGAAGATCCAGGGCGGTAATTTTGCACCTCCCTTTTGCATTGTTTATGGCCAAAATATGACTTCAGACCACACGCCTTTAAGCCCTAGGTAAGCAACCATTTAAATGGTACCTTGAAATCATAGTTCCATTTTAATTTGCACATGTGACTGTCTAAAATTTTAGCTTATGCACAGGTTTCAAGTAGGTCTACTCTCTGCTGCTTTATAAACAGGGCCTTTGGTGCAACGGGGCTCTAAGAAGAATTTTCTGCATTCAGGCACTTGCAATGGAGAAAAATGAGTGCAGGCCTGCAGGGTGTGTGTTACAGGAGGTGCTGGTTACATCGCTTCTGCCCTGACCAGGAAGCTTTTAGATGAAGGATACACCGTCCATGGAACATTGAGGAACTTGGGTAAATGAGTCTCTACTCTCTGTTTTTTTCTTGATGGTATTGTGTTTGCCATATGTTTCATGAAATTTTAATGCAGGTGATGCATCAAAGGTTGATATCTTGAAGAGCCTTCCGACTGCAAATTCAAGATTGCTGTTGTTTCAAGCTAATATATAAAATCCAACTGAGTTTGAGCATGCCATCAATGGCTGTCAATTTGTCTTCCACCTTGCTTCTCCCTAGCAGCAAACTGAAGGCTGCCAGGTTTGTCCCTCGTCTCATCGTTAGAACTCAAGAAATTTGTAATCTAATCAACTTTCCTCATTTTTTATGTTCTTGCCGTGAAGTTCAAGAATACTACTGAGGCTGCAGTTGCCACGGCAAAGACTATAGCAATGTCTTGTGTTAGATTAGGTGTGAGACGATTGATCTATGCTGCTTCTATTGTTTCTGCTTCATCATTGAAAGATGGTGGAAGTGGTTACAAAGATTCCATGGATGAAACTTGCTGGGCTCCTCTAAGTCTTTCAGCCGATTTCTCTTACGATCATCTTGCAGTAAGCACTAAAAGCCGCCTATGAGTGGGTGGATAAGTTGGCAGGGAACTCTTCCAGTTTAACCAGAGGTCTTGGTTTCAAGCCCTTGGAATGTAGATCCGTTAAAACTCGTGAGTGAGAGTTTTGCCACCTGTTGAGTCCTGCCCAGCTCGAACCTGAATTTGTCGATGACCCAGTGGGCTTCCCGATACTGGGTGGTCCATACAAAAAAAAAAAAAAGCACTAAAAGCCATTTTTCAGCCTACCGAGAACAGTTTGTGCTTTTTATAGTAATTATAAATTCAACTAAATTGTAGGCTTACAGAGATTCCAAGACACAGTCCGAGAAAGAAATACTGAGCTATGGAAGCAGTATTGAGGAAGGCAGAGGACTAGAGGTGGTTACTCTTGGAATTGGGTTAGTGGGAGGAGATAACACTCTCCTATCTTATACACCAGGAAGTGTGGCCACGCTTATTTCATATCTCATAGACAAGGTTTATGGTCCTTATAGATGCAAGGCTCCAAAATATCCAGAAGAGTTTGGGGAGAAATCCCAATTGTGCATGTCAATGATGTCTGTGATGCCTTTAGTTTCTGCTTGAACCAAGCTTCAATCAATGGCAGAATCTTATGTGCTAGCTCGTTCGTTTCATCTGCGGAAATCGCAGGGTACTATCAAGAAAATTACCCAGAATTCCCTAAAAACGAGAGTAAGTAGCTAACTATATATCCTCCAAGGCAGAAGTTCAAACAGATTTCTAATGAAATGAAACTGGTTTTCAGGTACCTAGAAGGAACAAAGAGGGAGGTCCAGTGGGGCTCCACCAGACTCATGGAGAAAGGATATGAATACAGATGTGATACAAGGATGATATTAGATGATTGTGTGAGGTGTGCGAGGAGGACTGGCTATCTCCAAAAGTAATTTTATCTTTTTTCAGCTCTAGATTTTATTTTTCGAAGTTTAGAAGGCAGATTTACGGTTCAATTTGTGCACACCAAACTAGTTTGATCATATACTCATGTCTTGAGACTATATTTTTTGTTTCATCAATATGAGGTTGACTGGAATCAATGCTTAAATTCTTCTTCCGCATTCAATACGGTTTGGTTTTTTGGTCATCAAATCCTTAAAATCAATTAATTAATAAATTAATTTCTTATTAGTTGATTAATCTTCGTAGTGGTGTGATAGGAAAATGATTTTGGGATAATATTTTTGTATCACTTTTTGTATAACTTGATGTGTCTTTTAAATGATTGTTTATATATATATATATATATATATATGTAGAACCCGTGATATTGAATGCATTCACTTATTGCCAATGACCTAAGTAGCTCAGTGGTCATCTCCTTCCGTTGAAAGTAAAAGGTCATAAGTTTGAATCACATGACATGCGGGTGGGATGTGATAAGGAAGGAGAGATAGTTGCCTCCCATTATGCAATCAAGATAAAAAAAAATGCATTCACTCATTTAATAACATATTAAAGTTGTATCAAAATATGATATAAAAAGATTGTTCTTATAGCACCACCTTAATATAATATTTCTTCTTTTTACAATCAAATCAATCTTTCTTCTTTTTTTGGTAAGATCAATTATTTTATAATTTAATTCTCTTCTATTTTTTTAATCTTGGTTGCACGATGGAAGACAACTATCTCATATCCTCTATCCTACTCCACCTGCATGCTATGCGATTCGAACTCAAAATCTCTTACTTCCAGCGGAAAAAGATGACCATTAAACTATTTAAGTTATTGGTAATTTAATCCTCTTCTTGGATCTTCATTACCTCTCTATTATTTTACAAAATATGAATATAACACATTAAGTTTGAATTGAGTAAAGTGTGTATTATGGGCGGATTTAGAGCCCCCCACCACTTCATGGATAGTTCCTTATTTAAAGATGTTGTCTTTGTTGTTATTGTTAATTTCTCTTCTCAAATGTGGGATGTATGGAAAATAGCATGTAAACCCTTGAATGTCCTAAGTTGAATACGGTAAAGTAAATATAGGTGGCCTGTTGCTTTCTTCAACTAACTCCTTTTAGCCCTAAAATCTTATGTCGTTGTCTATCTTTATTATTTTTCCTTGAGTGCCCAATTAGATCTAGCGGTTATGTTATCTTATCTTCTTCTTCTTTTTTTCTTTTCTTTTTTTTTTTCTTGTCCCCCCTCATTTGAAGCTTAAGTTTGTTTTCATAATCTAAATTTTAGTTGTTGACTAGTAGTTATTTACGTGAATCTTACCATAGTTGCTAATAGTACATAGAACCTTTGAGTTTTTTTGTGTTCTCTACAATTTTAGGATGACACCAACTATTCCTTTCATCACCTATTTTTGTGTGTGTGTGTGTTTTTTTTTTTTAATTATAAACATGAACACTAACTCTGTAGTTATATACCTTTTGTCTTTTGTCTTTGATGGAAGTTTGATTTGATGCCACATTGTATTCATTAGTTATTGGGTATCCCATCTTAATAAGTAGAGATTCTTTGATCCAATTCACAAGTTATGAAAGTAAGGATTACGTTATTGTTGAGGTTTCTTTATTTGTTACCATTTATTTAGGACTTCTTTGCTCTTTCTTTTCTTTTTAATCCTATAGCAGCATCTGCTAATCTACCTCCTCTTCTTTTGTGTAGTAAAACTATACTATAGCAATTAAACTATGCTCAGGAAAAATGTGACAAGAATCTTTATTTATTATTTATTTTTTAAAGAAAATTAATTCTTACATTTTATTATGTACTTAGAACAATGTAAAATTCATATGCATTTTATATTTTTTTTGTGAACATAGCCTTACTAATGTACCTACATTATAATAATAATTATTATTATTATTATTATTTTACTTTTGTTTTTGTTAAGCAAATGCAATAAAAACTCAAAATTAATAAATACATAAACTTAACCTCTAATCTAAGTACATAAAAAGGGAAAAAAAAGGACTTTGGTTACATCCTACAAACACAAACTCTTTTATTAAGAAAATAAGTAGAGAGTGATTTTTGTCTAGAATTTAACCTTGGACAATTTAACGTGTCTATAGTGCACATTGAAGATTTTTTTTTTTTTTTTTTTAAAAGGCAATGGAGAAGATGTTTGTTATGCTCTCTGCATATATGTGTTCTGCAGAACTTTCAAGTCACATACAAAAACATTACCAGCATGTCCAATACGTTACTTTTGGGTTTTAAATAAATTTAGCCATGTAGAGTAACTACAAGTTATTGACAAAAATATATAAATAGATTTCTTCACTTACTCACCCTTATGATTAGGATTAGGGTTCAAATCTTCATTTTCTATCTTTCATCCCTGTCTCCTATCACAATGAAGGTATTAATCAGTTACTATGTTCCAAATAAAAAATTTTAAAGTAAAATTTTAAAAACAGTTGACCGGGAGACGGAATTCTTGAAGTGTTTACGGTGAAAAAATAAAAAAAATGAAAAAAATGAAAGATGCAAAATTGCAAATAGCCTATAAGGGATTCATTTTTTGAACTTCGAAAATTTTGAGAGGGAGGATAAGAAGCGTTTAGACGTAGAATTCATTACGGTTTGTCTAAATACCTTTTTTTTTTTAAAAAAAAAAGGGTAATGACTAAATTACTTAATGTTAGATACAACTTATAAAGAATCTGAGATAAAATAATTTGTAACTTTCAATGTGATTAGATAGGTATAAAATGTAATGGTTGATATTTTTTTAAAATATTTTTTGAGAGTGTTGGCTTAAATATGTAAAAGCTCAGTTAAATAAAATAAAAGCATAGTATATATTAATTTTAAATTTTAAAAAAGATTAAAGTTTTAATTTAGATTTAAAAATTAAAATTTTAATTTTTAAAAATTTATTTTATTAAATATTAATAATTAAAATTAAAAATTAATTATATATTTTTTAATATAATTAATTTTAAGAATTTTATATTCATACTCAATAAAATAAATTTTTAAATTTTATTAATTATAGTACTGAACCGTTTTTTCGTTCGTGGTCTGCATCAGAGTGTGGGGCCCAACGTAAATGTCAAGTGTCACCGCCTCTTGGTTGGAAGCTTCTAACAAGGCACTTCCTTTTTTTGGTCAATCGAACAAGGCGCTTCTTGCGTCATTTTTTTGGAACCTTGAGCCTTCAACTTGTGCACTTCGTGTGTTAATTTTAATACACGCGATGACAGGTTACCCATTTAAACTTGTCGACTGAAAATGATCAGTGATAACGTGTGTGGGGAGTGTTAGATAAGAAGAAACCTCGTCCTCCTCCTCCTCCTCCTCCTCATCATTATCATCATCATCATCATCATCATTATTGATTAATTTTACTGAAAATTCTTTAATTGTACCAAAAAATTGTTGCCCCTTTATTTTAAAACAAGTTATAATTACCCTTACACTTTGGAGAAAGGACCAAGCGTAATCCCTCTATGGACTAACTTCATAACACGTCAACGCGTGACAAAATCCTTTGAAATTTAATGGTAAAATAACATTGTTGGTTCCGCATCTTTTAGTTCTTGTGCACTTTGATCCTTAAACTTTATATTTATTTAATTTGGTTTTCTTATTACAATTTAGTTCTAAACTTTTCAAAGAGTTTCACTTAAATCCCAAAACTTCTAATTTCATGCATTTTATTTTTTTTCACAAATAATAAAAATCACATAAAATCCAATAAAATCACTTTTAACTTATCAAAAATATTGATAAAATTAAGATTAAAAGAGTAAACTAAAATGTATAAATTCATTTATTTAAAATAAAAAATCACATTTTTAATGCTTAATTTGAGATCCTTAAAAGAAAAAAAAAAATTAACGAGTTGTATTTATATAACTCATAATAAAAAAAAATAACAACATTATGATAAAAATAAATAAATAAGAAACCCTATCATTTCCTTCCTCCACAAAGCTCAACCGCCTCCATATTCCTTCTTCTTCCCTGACATATAATTTGTTCGGTGGAGCTACAGATCGTCGACTCAGGCTCTGTCGTTGCATGCAAGAGCGCCTGCCTCGCTTTTAACACGCCGGAGGACTGCTGTACTAGCAACTATTGTGCGCGCCCCGTAGACTCATGCATACTCATTTTAGATATGCTGTGATAAGGTTATACCTAGGCTGATAGAGATTGTACGCATGTAAAGAGGCTATAAAAGGCGGAGTCAATGTAACTGAAATGAGTTTTTGATGAATAATGAAAATGGTTCTTCCTCTCTCTCTCGACTCCTATCATCTTTACTATTGTCTTCTTCCTTTCTCTTTCTGCTTCTCTTCTAAATTCTTTCCCAAATCCCTAATTCTTCCTTTCTAATCTCCATTTCTAGTTTGGTTGTTACCACAGACCTGCCAGCCGACGCAGTACTCATTGATGTTCAAGAATGCGTGCTCTACCGCTTACAATTATGCTTATGACGACGCCACAAGCACTTGTACTTGCTACGGGTTGGACTATTTGATCACTTTTTGTGGGCAATAAGTTCGTTCCCTGATCCTCAGATTATTAACAATTATTATTAAAATTATTGTTAAATTAAATTAAAGCTTCGCTTTATCTAAAAAAAAAAAAGATAAATAAGAGATGTTTATCTTAGTTTTCTTATAGGACAATGATAGGCTTACCCTCTGCCGTTACACACCTATCCACACACTAACGGAATCCGTCAAGTAACTAACGGAATCCGTCAAGTACCCTCACCTCTTTCTTTCTTTTTTTTTCTCTCTCTCTCGGTGGAGAACCCGAGCTGGGTTCTCTGAGAACCCAGATCTGGGTTCTCAAGAACCCAGCTCTGGTTCTCACCAGAGAACCCAGCTCGGGTTCTCAAGAACCCAGCTCGGGTTCCCACCGGAG